AGAATTCCTGTATAACAGGTTTTTGGAAGACTGGTATATGAAAAACTTCCATTCGGGAAATACCTTCAGGTCTGAAATGGGGAAAAGTTATACGCCAAAAATTAAAGAGGTGTATACAGATTCACCTCGAAATAAACTAGCTCTTAATGAGAGGTTCTTAAATCACGCTTAAAATTAAAAGGTCTGGCTACATATTGCCTTCACTAAATTATAATGGATGCCACTAACAGCGAAAATCAAAGTCGGCAATTTATATGTAAGTAATCGTAGACCGAGTCRCTTTCCGCTTCCCACGTCGTTTCTCAAGCAATTTTCTCAGGAGTAAAGCTCTTAAAGCTTTCCCTTAACTTCTCGTTTAACACGTTAGGATTAGATAAGTCACTAGTGCAGTACTAGCATTACATAACTGAAGTAATGCAACGTGAGTTCTGTTCGTTTAACGTGATGGACCGTGAGATAAACGTGATAACCGCAATGAGATTTAACATGAAGCAACTTTTTCCTCTACAAAGAAAATAAACGAGGGAAAATATATCTTTGAACGGTATAGATATTAAATGATATTCTTGTAGAATGCATATTGAAATGAAAAAAAAAATGTATATAGTAAGTATTTTGCTTAATTTAATTGCCAAGTTTCGGCCATATTAGCCATCTTCGGGGCATCTTCCAACTCAGAGTCGTAATAATGGAGTGTATCAGTTGATGGAGATTATTTTGATATCTTTCGAAAGTTTTGTTTTTATGTTGTTATGCAACAATGACCAGGAACTCGTGAATATTTTATGTACTTGACTACTGCTTTCTTATTCTTCTTTTAATTTTTTTTTTTTTCTTTCTTTCTTTCTTGTCAAGAGAGAAAAAAAAAAAAAATTGTACGAAATCTGAAACTCCTGGACTAATCAGTTCCTTGTCGAACACATAAATATATCCAGTTTGTAAAGTTTTTTTTTTTTATCGCACTAACAATTCGTTATGCGAGGGCCATGACCAAACATGACGTTTCTAGGCTTTTTTGCTTCCGTCGCTCAAAGAAACAGGCCAAACTTTGTATCAGATATACTTCTATTAAATCGTGAATAAGCACTCGTATCATACAAGATTGATTGCGAAGTAAATTTTCTTTACGTCTTAGATAATGAGAAAGCTTCTTGGCTACGTACACTGGACTACCATTCGAATATATGTTCACAAATGACCACAAATATTTCTAAATAAATTTTACTTTATCTTGTTTGAGTAAGAAACACAAACCCATGTCTGTTAGGTGTCAAGTTTTCTTTGTATGAACTAAAGTTAAATAATTCAGGACACGTACGTAGTTTCTCATTACAATATACACTCATATGGGGTAGAATTTGGCTACTGTTAAGTTACTCGCAATTTTGTCTGTTTGCAATAGAAGATGATATATGGTACTAAAAGAATAGTAATGGCAAACTCTATCGACAAGGATTGATTATATTTCTGGGCTCATTTAACTAAGTCGTTTTTACGAACAAATAAATGAAAAATGTAGGATTTGGAAACATTGCAAATGGCTACCGTTTTGAAACATTTTGATTGGTTGATGGATGTATTCTCAACTCGATTTCTGATTGGTTCATAACAGAACTCATTTTTTGATCCAGTTAAAGAAAGTTTTCTTTCTTTCTTTCTTAAGCTTTCTTTCTTTCTTTCTTTCTTTCTTTGTTAAAGTGCAAATGAACCCTTCGACAATACTTTCAGTACTGATTCTACATGAATTAAATAGTTGAATGGTAAAATATTTCTTGATTTGAGTGTTGCGTCTCTAAGTTATGAAGGTTTATACTACCAATATGCTAATGAGTGTGACGTCTATTAAGGCTTAATTGAATATACAAAATCGAACTGGTTCATAGATACAGTATTTAAAAAGCATCATTATTTTACTCATGGTTTACATGAAAGCTATTTAAAATTTTCATTTTCGAAATGACCAGCATTTACACCTTTTGCTGTTCATTAACCGCAAAGGAATATTCATTCAAGCGAAAAAGCATTATCATTAGCGCGAACAGGCACACAATAACGCGAACGGAGTTTCAAGAGCGCGATGGAACTTTCATTAAGGAATTTAGCATAACATTGGACAATCATGAATATGTTTGTGCAGGTTCATTAGCGTTTTCGAAGTTTCATTAGCGCCTTTGTGCAATCAATAGACAAAACCACACATTCAATAACGGTTTTTGGACATTCATTAGCGCAATACATTATTACTTTACTTTTTACACGGGAATTGTAGGATTTTAGCTAGAAGGCAAGGCATTCCACTCGGAGAGCTAAGAAAAAGATTGCTTCTTAGAGCGACTACAAGAAACATAAATGTTATCACGCAACAAAAATGCATGCAGTGGTACAACCACATGCAAACCTATCTTCCCAGATGTATGAATAGAGAAGCAATTCAAAGATAAATACACTTCTTTCTTCAATACCTAACGCCATGTTTTCTTTGTAAAGAACGGTTATATTCATGGGTTGTAAAAAATGTAAAGAAAGCTAAAATCCTACAATTCCCGTGTAAAAAGTAAAGTAATAATGTATTGCGCTAATGAATGTCCAAAAACCGTTATTGAATGTGTGGTTTTGTCTATTGATTGCACAAAGGCGCTAATGAAACTTCGAAAACGCTAATGAACCTGCACAAACATATTCATGATTGTCCAATGTTATGCTAAATTCCTTAATGAAAGTTCCATCGTGCTCTTGAAACTCCGTTCGCGTTGTGTGCCTGTTCGCGCTAATGATAATGCTTTTTCGCTTGAATAAATATTCCTTTGCGGTTAATGAACAGCAAAAGGTGTACTTGTTACAACAAAARCACTCAAATACCTTACCTGACGTCATCTTCATTAACATATTGGAAGTATGAACCTTCATAACTTAGAGACGCATCACTCAAATCAAGAAATATTTTACCAATCAACTATTTACTTTATGCAGAACCAGTACTGAATGTATTGTCAAAGGTTTCATTTGCACTTAGAGTTCGACGTTTCACATGAGCCTCATTAATTTGACTTTGAATAAATTGAATATAAAATTGAATATAAAATGGAAAACATTAACGACGTTGCATCAAGTTTTTAATTTGTTCATTTATGTCTATTTACAAGAATTTAAACATACATCATTTATTGGGAATATTTACAAAAATTATCGACTAGATAGGACGAATAGAAATAATTTAATTAGAAGGTGAAATGAAAAAGTTTCGCCCCTTGACATCGTGTCGTCATAAACAACTCTCCTTCGGTACCTCTGATTTGAACTCGCTTACGCTATGCTGTATAATTTTCACCGTTCCAAAAGCATGAGATAAAGTTGAGCATTTTTTATTTGGTTTATAGATAACGCTAAAGTCCCTACGACTACAACTCTTATCTTTAAGAAGCATCCTCGTAGCGATCTTGAAATCCGGCTTCATAAAAGAATAGATTATAGGATTCGCTAGCGATCCTAGGATTATCATGAACGGAGAAATCTCGAGTAGTATATTCGGGATAGCATTGAAATGTCCCAAGCCGGCGGCTAGAGTATAATAAATAACGGGAAACCAAGTAATAGCAAAGATTATAGCTGCAATTACAAAAACTTTGGCGATTTTAGCTTCGGAGAATATGATAACCCTCGAATGATGAGAAGTTTTCTGAGGTATCCTTTGGCGGGGACTTTCGTCGTTTTTTGATATCGCCAAGAGCGTCTTTCTCTCTTTGTGGATACAGTTTTTAACGATTCTGAATATTCGAATGTTGGCGAACAAAATGAATAAAAACGGTATGATAACACAGATGAATACTACCAAAAGTATATAAAGCTTGTGATAATATACTGTAATATTTCCTCTCCAGCATAAAGGGAGTAAAGCTATACTCAACGACATCATCCACGTTAGAAATATAGTCATTTTCGAATACTTGGCCATCAGTTCGTAGTAGATAAAAGGCCTAGTTATCGCGATGTAACGGTCTGTAGTCACTGCAGTGAGATTTACAGCTCCACTAATGAGAACTACGGCGTACAAGACATTGATAACAACGGTATTCTTAAACCCGATCAGATACTGGAAGAATATTACCAAGCCAGTTAGAATGTCTGAGATAGCAAGCGAGACGACGAACCCATTTGTAGCCGTCCTCATGTGTCTGTTCTTATACACTAAATATAGGACGATGCTATTTGCTACTAGGACAAGTATCGATAATATACCCAATGGAACTACGATTTCAACAGGACTTGTCATCATTTTGATTCGTGGTCCAGAACACAGGTTGCTCATACACTTCTAAATCTTAAGACGAAATCAAGTGGCTTCTGATATAACTCAAGTGATTTGGCACTTGAAAATACTCGGGAACTTATATTTAAACATCGTTATTAGCAGTATTCATGGAGGCGATCAGAGCTGTGTTCGCCACCTGTCACCAAACGGCTCCAGATCTAGATTCCTTGGTTAAACGACACACCAACTGTCTTGTTTTTCTCGTTACACATAAAAGCCATCCAAAACAATCTTGTTTTCAATCCACTGCCACAAATCCTTAAAAGTGTAGTTCCAGTTCAATGCTCTAGCTGAGTGATTTTAATATTGCTTCGTTTAGTGATTGAATTATATCATTATACTCATCAGCCAATGGGTGGTCGTGTAAGTATGGCGTTATATTCCCGACAAAATTCAACATCAGGCTTTCAACATTCTTATAAAGAATT